GTGGTGTGTGTGTGTGTGTGTGTGTGTGTCTGTGTGTGTATTAAATGATTAAGAATTTATGTATAAATTTCTGCCATTGTAACCCAAATTTCCCCTGGGGATCAATAAAATATAATGGTATGATTTATTCATAAACTCAAACGCAAGAGGTTCTGACCTAACATGATACTATCACCTGATCCTTTGACCTTGACCTCCCTCAACAGGGGCGGCTACTACTGCACAGCGTTTCTGGCACCCGGAAGTGGTCAAGAGCTAGCCTCTCTACAGACGATTTCTGTGCTCTCCACCATCATGCAAATAGACGTGGTCGGCTCCAGTGAGTGGGCGTGGTTGTTGTTGTTGTTGTTTTACTGTTTCCTTAATGGGCCTGGTGGACTCTACGAAGAAATCTTCGAGCGAGAGCAAGGCTCTTTTTCGGCTCCATTGTCATTATACTCAGAGGCACCGCCATTCGTCCAAATAACTCCATTCAAATGGCCATTGTTCCTGGATTTTCAAACATATGTTTGACACCATCTTTTCATGGCATCTTCGGCAACGTGGGTTTAGCTCTTCATTCACAAAGTTTTGATACCATCTCAAGTTCCAATGATGGTCTGACCGCAGTCTCGCTAGCTGAACCTGGTCCCAGCGACACGGGGTATTTTGTTCCTGCTTATTGGAGTACCCGGAACGCACATCTTCCAGGTGCTGGTACTTACCTCTGCATGGTGGGTCTCTGATTTCCCTCTTGATCATTGGAAAGACTCCCCTGTATGTTATTGGTTGTCTGTCTCCTTCATTCTCTCCTGCTTCATTGGCAGCTTGGTCTTCTGCCTCATTTCATTCGATTCCAACATAGCTTGAAATTCATCATCATCATCATCATCCTCCAGTGCCAGATCTGCGACAGACATCGGCGATCATGGTTCTCCATTTATTCCTTTGCTCGGATGCTCTCAAAAAAGCTACGTTTCACTGATCTTTCCCTGTTACCCTTTTGTTGGCTTGAAATTCACTGAATCTTTATTATTGTTGTTGTTGTTGTTGTTGTTGTTGTTGTTGTTGTTATTGTTGTTGTTGTCGTCGTCGTTGTTGTTGTTATTGTTGTTGTTGTTGTTTTTGTTGTTGTTTCGCTGTGACAGTGAGTGAGTTTGATTGTTGTTGATTTTTCTCCATAAAAGCTCCACTACACAACTGAAAATTTTGAATAAACCCCGCAGCATGTTTTGGGGTCGATTCTTTAAAACCACAACGGTAATACTTGAAGGAGCTCAAGTTAAGGCACTTGAACCAGGCATCTACAGCATAACACCTTCTGCTCCCATAAATTCTCCAAAACTTTCTCAACACGGTGAAATATGCATCAGGTGCGCCAGTCGTGGTTTTAACGCCCTTGTCCTGAAACTAGAATATGTAATATTTCTCGAACGTGTTGATTAATTTTCTTCATATTTGCAAACTTGATATCAACATGATTGAATTGCATTTGTTATAATAATAATAATAATAATAATAATAATAACAATAATAATAATAATAATAATAACAATAGTATAACAATAATAACAATAAGAAAAGTAATAATAATGATGATAGTTGTATTATTAGCATGTTCTCTGCAACTAGTTTATAGAAATAGATGAAGTAGATAATCCTGTCATTTTTGTAATTCCCCCTCCCCCATGTTTCTGTCTCCCACAGACGCCAACACCTACGGGCCAGACATCCACGACCAGTTTCCTCAACATTTCCCGGAGCTTCCTTTCCTTGGGGATACAGTCAGCATAGAGTGTCTGGCTTATGGAAGGTATTGTTTGATTGATTGATTGATTGATTGATTGATTGACTGGCTGATTGATTGGTTGGTTGCTTGCTCGCTTGCTCGCTTGCTCGTTTGCTTGTTTGATCGCTCGCTCGCTCGCGTGCCTGTTTGTTCGCTCGCTTGCCTACCTGCTTGCTTGGGTGATTACTTGGTTGGTTGTTGGTTGTTTAAATTACTGGTTGATTCGTTGATCGATTGGTTGGTTGGTTGGTTGGTTGGTTGGTTGATTGGTTGGTTGGTATGCTCATCTCTCTTTCTCCTTCTTTCTATCTGTCTCTGAATTTGTCTTTGTCTCTATCTTTTTATCTCTCTGTCTGTCTCTCTCTCTGTTCCCCCCCCCCTT